ATCCCCTGCTTTGTCGCGAGCTTATTGTTTTATATATTTTGTTTGGTAATCGTACAATTATTTGTCCAAAAAAAAATTTTTATGTAAAATATTTTTTTGAAAATTTTAATATTTTATACTATTGGGTATAAACTATTGAAAATATCTTCAATTATTTTAATCATTTTGATCATCCTATAAAAATATTTTCTATCATGATTTAACTTCAATAATGTTTTATTATAGCACCATCAAATATTAACATTAATCAATTATGCAATGCATCAATTTTTATATTAAAAACATGATATATAAATAATATTTAATCTTTATTTATTTATTTCTCATCATATTGTTACACTAGTTAGTTTGTTAAGTCAATAGGGATGAGTAAAATTAGATTGGACCAATGACCCAATTGAACCAAATAAGATTTGGATAAAACTGTTCAATCCAAGTGATCCATTGAGTCTATTGATCTAAAAAGTTTGGTTCAATTAATTTATTTGGGTGGATTCTTGATATTAAACATATTAAATTTTGACCAAAAGGCAAAATTAATATTATATATTATTTTTAAATTTATATAAAAATATATATTTTCATTACTAATTTTCATTCCACATTTTGTAATTATTAATGAATTTTATAAATTTTAACATTACAATTTATAAAAATTAAACTAAAATTTTGGTCCTTTTGATCAAAAATTGAACTAACTAAATCTATTTGATGTTTGACCGATATGATCTTCTATTATGTTTCGTCAATTTTGGTTGATTTTTTAAAAATATTTAATCTACTTAGTTCTTAGATATGATGGACTAAACTAACTGAGCTATTTAATTGCTCACCCTTACAGTCAATAAATTATAACGTAGAAATAAAAAGAAAAAAAAATTATGTGTGAAAAACTTGTTTTTTATTTTATATAATTTTTTAATTGATCTTAATTATTCTTTATTACAGTAAAAATTTAATATCTTAGTTAAAATAATTATAATGATTCCTATGAAATAATCAAATAAAATAATTAATGATTATTTGTTGAGAAAAATAATAATAAATTAAAAGATGAAAACAAAAAGGGAAAATAATGATGTTTTGTTATTGCTGGTGCAAATGAGATTATTTGGAATTAAAAGAGAACTGATAAAATGGATTTCAAGGTATGTATCTTTAGGACTTATTTTATGCTCACCACTTGGTATATAAAAAGGAATTATGTAAATAGTTTTATAAATACAATAAACCTAACGTTTTACATTTTGTTTGCACTTCTTGTCAATAGACGAGGAAGTCTCAGTTTTTAATTTTTTTTTATTTATATGGGCATAAAATTACAAATATATAAGTTTGCCACCCTTCTTTAATTCCAATCAATTGGCTTGGAATATTGGTAAGTCATTTATGTTAAATTTTAGAGGCTTGAGTTCAATTCCTTTAAGGTTCAAAATTTGAAATTATTTTTCCTTTTTCCTTCTAGAGTAAATTCAAATTTTAAAATTATTTTTCTTTTTTTCTTATATAGTAAAAGATGCATTGCTTAACTATAAAAGTAAATCCAAATTTTGAAATTATTTTTCTTGTTTTCTTTTTTTTTTTTTATAAAATAAAAGATGCATTGCTTAACTTTGTCTAAAGTGTATAATTGCCTTAAGAGTATAATCTTTTACTTTGATTTTTCTCACTATCTGTTGATTCGATTTAAACGCTTATACAATATGTACTTTTCTTAAAAATACTTCATTTTTTTAACGTAACTTTACTAAAATATTTTGTATTAAAATTGTTTGACTTTATAATCTACTTTCTATAATAAGTAGATGATACGAAATCTAGATACTTTTAGTAGAAGAGAGTAACTCAAAGTGTTTATGTCTTTTTCTAAATTTTCATTTAGTTATTCTCACTGCTCAGTTTCTTTTCCTTGTCATTTCCATGTCTTAAAATTGTTGGCAATAAATCTTTCATATAGACTGACAAATGTTTCTTCTTTTCAAACACAATCGTTTTATTAAGGCACATTTTTATTTTAAACACACCTTTACATGTTACAAGACATAACTTTTGGATAAAGATAATTTCTCAATAACTATCTTATAAAAAGACAACCTTTCATTCTAAATGACAAAATCTTTGAATCACAATATAAAAAGATACCTTTTAATATCATAATTGAGTGGTGGTTGTTTTTAATAGTCTCTTAACTTTTGAATTTAGAGATGTTTTTCAAATATTACTTTATTAAGAGACAATCTTTAATATGAAAAATTACCAACAGTTCAATAATCACATTATGTTATATAAACTTTTAATTTTAAAAATACACTAATAATTATTTTATTGATTTGTGGGATTTGATCTCACAATAAGGATAGAGTAATATTTTGAAGTGAGATCAATCCCAAAAAGAGGATAAAACATTAGTCTTAAAAGTTTTCTCCCTTCTAAATGAAGGAAAAGAATAAAAGCTTTTTATGGAAAAACTTTTTACCAAACTACATCATAATTATTATAGATATTAAAATTTAAAAAAATAAAGATTGCATCTAAATATGAAGATAGAATTATTCTACAATTTCAAAAAAAGTTTTTTTTTTCTAAGTTGGATGCAACTTCTGCTTCTAAATTAAGCCACATGTTTGGAAATATAACCCACCAAACTCATCCTTTACGAGAAAGAAAATTTGCTAAAGTACCACCACTAATTTGAAAGGGAACACTCAATTTGTAGTATTTAGTTATATTTAGGTAAAATTAGATTTGATAATTTTGTACAAGACATAGTAACATGATACATGTTTAAGTGGATTTTAGTTTAAGTTAATCTTATTTCATGTATTAATCGTGTATTTGTATAACCTGTGATTTATTTATTATTTATTTATTTAATTATATTCACGTGTCATGTAAACATGTTTAGTACACTGTTAAGATCTATTTATTAATTTTTTTTTGCTTTGGAAAATTAGATGTGCTTGGTGAGACCTATTTATTGATTTATATAAATGATAATATTTTTATGATGATTAAGATTGATTGATATTGAATTTTATTATATTTAGTATATATTATGATTTTTATTAATTTTTGTTGTAAATTTGAATAACAGAATCATATTTTACTTGTACATATTTTAATTTAATCATATTAATCGTATAGATTGTGTATTAATTATATAAATAAATTATAAATCGTATAAATTTTAATCGTGTTAATCATGTTGTATAAAATTTAATCCAACACGTTTAATAAACGTGTTAGTCGTGTTGTATTACACATTTATTAAATATATTCGTATACATGTTTAAGATCCTAACACAATTAATTAATTGTGTCGTGTTTGTTACCTATATAATTATTAGGATTCTTTTAAAAAAATCCCTTATCTTATAATTTTAACTATTTTGAGCTAAAAGAAATTAATTTTGAATAAAACTATCTTTAATGAAACCGATACATATGTTTAGGTTCACATTTCAAACTGACTTATATCCTTTAAGCTTTTATCGTCAAATAATTTATTTTTAGAGTATTCCTTACCAGAAAAAAAACCTTTAAGTATTTTGAATATTCTTCACTAAGTAGACATATTTATTGATAATATTATTAAATAAAATATGGTGTGTTGCTTGAAGTTATTGATCTTATTGAATAGAATTCAATGGTTTTAGTGGTTTTTAAGTATTATGTAACTGGTTTTTTGAATATTGCGTGACTAATTTTTAAGTATTGCGTGATTAATTTTTAGATACTGCATGATTGATTTTTAAGTATTACGTGACTAGTTGATATGGCATTGCATAATTGGTTGATAGGCATTACGTGACTAGTTAGCAAGATACTGCGTGATTGGTTAGTAAGGCATTATGTGATTGGTATTTAGGCATTGTCTAAAATTAATCACGCAATGTCTAATTCTAGTCACGCAAAGCTTAAAAACTAGTCATATAATGCTTAAAAACTAAATATGCAATGATTAAATTACGTAATACTTAAAAATCAGTCACACAGTACTTAAAAATTAATAACACAATGTTTAAAAATTAGTAATGCAATACCTTATAACTAAGTAATTTGCTTCCTCGCAATTAGGTTTAGATTACCAAAGTTATACAGTACCTTAATTTACAAATATGCTTAATCAACTCTAACTCATTAACTTTGAGTTCTATGAATATAAATCAATAAATTCAAAAACCTAAAACACATACTTTGATATCATTTTTACTCTATGAGATAGCGAGAAAAAACTAGATGGTGAGATAGATAGTGTTTGACAAGAAAGAGAAATCATGATTTAATATTAAAATTTTTATTTGGATGGCGGGATAGAGTAAATCGAAACTATTTTAATTTATTTGAAATTGTTTAAAAGAGATTGTTGCTAAGTTATGTTTAAAATTAATTAAAAATTAATTAAAATTATAGTAATAATATTTTTGAATTGAACTTATGTTGAAGGTTATCTCTCATAATTTTTTTTAATTATTAATATCTTATATTTATACGATATGGTTAAAATACGAATGTATGAATTGCTAGACCTAACTAAAATGATTATCTCAAAAAAAAGAACATGAAATCATAATTAGCCCGTACGTGAACATTAATTATTTTCCACCATAAATTGTTTGACAAATTTAGTTCATTTGGATTAGAATTACCTTGTGGGGGAGGCAATTGACATTGTCAAAAATTCTTTTATTTTTCCTTGTCAAAATTGAACAACAGTCCCCCACCCTATGTCATTGGCAGAAAAGTTTTCCAATTCAAATAATAAATTCCAAAATGTAAATGGTCATATTGACTTCAGTTATTGACTTGGATTGGGTTGCTCGTAGCAACCAGACGCTCATGCACAGCCTGGTTGAGGTTAGGTGCGGTACCCAATTTGGTCAAGGACCAAACCCCAAGCCAAAGGTGCCAAAATTTGTACAACTGTCGAGGCTGTTTCGTGCAAAAATGGCCTTTTATTCATCATTATTTAACTCAGAATCAGTCGTTTAATTCCATTGGGTCCCAAGTGTGGCGAATCGTCCGGCTGAGAACTGATAGGATGATGATAGCCAAACAAAAGCCTCACGTTTTTTAAATCCGAACAGGAATAAAAGTCTCTCTTATTTCCCAAATCTCATGGCGATTCCTCGTTCTCATGGAACGACACCCAAACTCTGGAGCCAATCCTCTCCGTAGTAGTTCCCCTTTTTTTTTTTTGCGCCTCCCCTGTATATATAAGAGAAAACAAACGAGGATCGAACCCTAACTCAGGCGATTCGACTCGATTATTCACAAGCTAACGCAACTCACACCAACGAGTATATCCTCTGGCAATGCGACTCTGGTTGTCGGCGATATCCCTCTCGAGAGAGGACTCCTTTTCTTTGGCTAAAATCTTCGCCTTTTTTCAGATTGATTTAAAAGGTTCAAGACATGTCCAACGATTCTCATGCCCCTAATTCCAGGGTTCTCCTTTGCAATGCTGGTGCCGGCGCAGCCGCTGGTATGTTGAATACTTCCTTCCCTTTCCCTAATCCGTTATGTCAATAACTGAATTTCGACCTCTTTTTGCACGTGCAGGTGTTATTGCTGCATCATTCGTTTGTCCTTTAGATGTTATAAAGACAAGATTTCAGGTTCATGGGCTGCCAAAGCTCGGTAACGGAGCCGTTAGAGGTATGCAGATCCGATTTACTTTCTTTTGAGGAAAACAGAAATATGAGCTGTTTAAAGTTTTCTAATTCTAACTTTTTGTTTAATTATTTGGTCAGGTAGTCTTATAGTAGGTAGCTTAGAACAAATATTTCGGAAGGAAGGCTTGCGTGGCATGTATCGTGGGCTTTCTCCCACTGTACTCGCTTTACTTCCAAATTGGGCAGTAAGTCGTTCTTTCCCTGTTTCTATTTCTAAGTAGTTCCAATCCCGTTTGTAAAGGCTGGATGAGTTTTTTAATTTGGATGTTATTATGTAATGGGGAAAGTCAAAGTTTGTAAATTCAATGGTTTGCAAAGACTGTAGTGGATTATTAGTCGGCTTGTGTTGATCCTAAAGTTTTTATCTTGGTGACAATACCTTGAGTTATTTTGCAAGGATCCAGGAATTTTGGAAAGAAATATGGTTAGATGTTTTGCTGCTTTGTTTCATGATCAGTTGGATATTTAACTTAAAGAAACAACCTGTTGCATGTTTCAGTTAGTACAAGGTCAGCGCTTATTTATCCAGATCCTTTTCTTGCCCCCACTCCCTGACTTGATATGAAATTAAAATATTTAGGTTCCTCTGCAGTTAAGTTTCCTGAATCTTCCATACTCAATTATGACAATGGTAAATTCACATTTTGCATACACACACGAAACAAACTAAGCCCTTTCCTTCAACCGGAGTTCTACTATGCAGTTATGCTGTATTTAGGATTGTAGCCCAAGTATTTCATGAAAAGCAAGGATCTTTTTTCTATGGTTTCTACTCACATTTTCTTTGTTTGTCACCTCCACCTTAAATTATATCATATATTCCAGGTGTAATTGACAGCAACATTTCGCTTATAATTACCCAAAGTACATAGGGATAGCCCAACACGGATTTAAAATCAGCAATTCTGTTTTATAATCTTTTTTTAACTCTGGATAGCATAAAATTTGAGGTGTCCGTTTGAATATTTCAAGTAAATTATCCAAAGAAGCAGTGGCATTACAGCAGTTGTTTAGTTTAATTGAGTAATTGAGCTAAACTGAAGCTTGTAGAGCAAAATTTTTATATGCTATTGAAAAGTTAGGTAATTTATTCACAAGGTTGAACTACAAATGTCAAACTCTGGCTTCTTTGTCATTGCGTACTTTTGATTTGCCATGCAACATAATAATTATTATACTTGCTATTTCCTATCCCAACTATGCATATTCTGTTCTTGAGAAGTTTACACTCGATTTTTTAGGATTTTATGATTGAAGTAATTAAAACATGAAGCCTATCTATCTGTTTGTTTAGATTTCCATTTGAGGTTTTTGTTATAGCATGGTAAATTATTCTCTTTGATGCTGATGTGCTTCACTTCCTTAATTATTGAGTAGAGGTCATTTTTATTTTTCTCCCTCTGACTGTCTCTTGTTTTGGTACTTGCTGAATTTGACGCAATCCTTTCCTCTTGCAGGTATACTTTACAATGTATGAGCAGCTCAAAGGCTTTCTTTGTTCTAATAGTCAGTTCCTAGCCTATAAGATTCACACTTCCGTTTTGGTTTTTTTCTATCCTTATCATCTTGCACATTTTCTTTTTAATTTCTGACTTACTATTCCTGGGTTCGTGTGTAGATGAGAATCACCATCTCTCGATAGGTGCAAACATGCTAGCTGCATCTGGTGCAGGAGCTGCGACAACCATTTTCACAAATCCTCTCTGGGTTGTGAAGACAAGACTTCAAGTGCGTCTACCAAATTTATACTTTATTATTTTATTATGTAATGACATATGATGAAAGAAATCAAAACTCTTGATAGTGTGGCATATATGTGGGAGCGATCCTGATCAGGGAAGGCTAAGACGGCGCCTCGCCTATGGGTTAATTTTCTTAGTTATTTTGCCTGTTATTTCATTCCAATTATAATTTGTTAATGGATATCGTAACTTTTGTCCCTATTGTCTCTTTTGTTGCTTTTGATAATTGCCTATGTCCCTCTTGCCAATCAACCCTCAAAAATGAAAAAGAAACTAGGAAGCCTACCAGAGGAAAGTAATAACCCTTTAGAAGGAAGACAAATACAATTTGGGAAAAAATGATAGAAGAGAGTTGAGAAAAATCAATGCCTGCATTGAAAGGGTGGATGACTGATTAGTGTTATTTAGGCTGTTCGATTTGGCTTTATAGGATTGTTTTATGGTGAATTCTGGTATTTATAATCTAGTGTACATGGTTTGATGTTTTTATTTTAATTGTATTATGCAGCTGTTTAAATACAATAGCTTTAGAGCTGTTGACTTTTTTATGCATTGACATCTGTCCCATTTCTTTTATCTAGACTCAAGGAATGAGAGCGGGAGTGGTTCCTTATAGTAGTACTCTTTCTGCTTTGAGGAGAATAGCTCATGAGGAGGGTATTCGGGGTCTATACAGGTTTTTTTTCTCTGTCAATAAGAAATTGATGATTTCTATTTGTTAAAGTTGTTTTTAACTGCTCTGAATTAAGAAATGATGGTGTCTGATATTTTCCATGATGAACAGTGGTCTCGTGCCTGCATTAGCAGGTATCAGTCATGTTGCCATTCAGTTTCCGACATATGAGAAGATCAAATTATATTTAGCTGATAAAGGTTAATAATCTACTTGTGTTAAGTTGTATATATTCATCGAATATATTTTAACTGAATGGGGTCTTGGCAGATAACACTACAATGGATAAACTCAGTGCACGTGATGTTGCTGTTGCCTCATCAGTTTCCAAAATATTTGCATCCACGTTGACTTACCCACATGAGGTATGATGAATGAATGTTTACAACTCATTTTGGTTAAGTATGTTAAAACCGCTCACTTACTTTAAACTGAAAAGATTGCATTGCACTTTCAAGGTAAAAAAGAAGAGGGATGTCAGTATGTCTTAATTGCCTTAGCCTATGTTTAATAGTTGCATTTATCTCTTTCTCTCTAACTATTGGCTGTTTAATTATGTAAGCTGATGAAAATAAAAAGGTTATGTTTTATTCTTGCACAATATAGGTGGTACGCTCAAGGCTTCAGGAACAGGGACATCACTCTGAGAAACGATATTCTGGTGTGGTTGATTGCATTAGGAAAGTATTTCAGCAAGAAGGCGTTGCTGGATTCTACCGTGGGTGTGCAACAAATCTTATCAGGACCACACCTGCAGCTGTTATCACATTCACTAGCTTTGAGATGATTCATCGGTTTCTTGTCAATATTTTCCCTCCTGATCCACAGCCTCACACATTGTGAGGGTGCGTCATGCTCAAACAAAGATATAGCACGCTGTCACCTGGCATATGACCGGGCAGTAATACATCATCTTGGTAGTGATACAGTTTCACAGATGTTTATGTAGTGTATTCTTCTGGTAGATTTTACCAACATTGATTTGATCCTCATCTCCTCGTCTTTAACCCTGTAAGATGAAAGCTTCCTGAGGAAGGTGTGGACATGATATACTGACAAATGATAATGACGAAAAAAGTACACTGTGAGCTTAAATTAATACATTGTTAAAGCATTGGTAGATAATTACAGTAATTTATCTTTGTTTCAACGTACTTGCTTTGCTGGTTGCCCCTATTTTCTCTCTCACTCGTTCTCAACTTTCAAGTTATATAAAACTTAGGCAAAATTGAACGTAGATGGTTGCTGGAAAGGTAAATTGGGTTGTGCAGGTGTAATGGCTTGGGGAGACGGGGCTTGCTGAATCAGTTGGATACAACTTTTTTGAGTCGGATTCGATCTCGACTTGATTGAGCCCCGTTTGGGTACTTGTGAAAATGTGATAGCTGGCATCACAAGTTTGGGAGTTGGGACTACAAAATCATTCTTTGAGTTGTGTGCTTTTTGTTTTGTTTTTGGCATTCCTGAGGGTTTAGCTCCTTTCTTGTTCGCGTGGTGAACCCTTGGGCTACTCATACATGCCATGTAGCGAAAATCCTGCTTCTTCGCTCCTTTGGGCTACATCTGGCCTTTGGGTGATTGTGTTCCCTTCCAATGGCCTTTGGGTAGGACTCCAGTCCAATTCTGTAGCTTTGGGCTTTTGCTGTGGACTAAATTTAGCTACCCAAGGTCCCAAACCGCCTTTCTATACAAGCACTCCCACGAATGGTATATGGCATTCAAACACGTTAAGCATTCCAACACGTTTGCTTCGTGAGCAAGTATATGGCATTTGGGATGGGGATTTGCAAGGATAAGAGTTGTTGGGATAGGGATTTTCTGATGGAACAACACACTTGTAATCTGTTACGAAATCACAAACGAGCTTAACTGTTTTTGGTTATACTGTTCATACGTCTACCCTCCAAGTCCAACAGAGCACAACAGAAAATGCTTGGCTTTTATTAATAAGCTTGTCCCTAGATCATGTGGTTGGAGGATGAGAGTGAGAGTTCCAAGTAGATATCATAAACCTGAGACAATACTGTAAACTTATCTCCAAAAGAGCTGAGTTTATTTAAGTCAAAGAAGCCTGATCAAACTTTGTTTAATCATTCAAAACGTTATGTCATTTATTGATGTCTGATAAGATATTTGAATCATTTTCTTGTTGATATATTCAGAGTAAAATGAATAGTTTTAAAGATTATAGAATGGGACGTATGCTCTTCAAAACATATCCCACTTGAAAACTTTAGGTCTACATGAGAATTGCCTTGATTAGAAAATTCCTCTTACATCTCCATCCCAACGCCAGTTATAAGTGTGGCAAAAAACGAGAAAGTGGGCATAATTTGACAACTCATTAGCCTTATAAAGGGAATCCTAAGAGCTTCATCTTATCATCGGAAGACTATGACAACTTAGAGGCCCCCTCAGTGCCTCTCTTGACATTCTTTAAGGGCATTCTTTTCTCCTATCTCTGGTGGACCATTATGTTATATACGAAAAGAATCAAGACGATTCCTTTCATGCATTGGATGTGATTAACAGTTCATAACATCACATTGACACATGGAGGTTGAGTTCAAAAGAAAAAGCCATTCCCCAAATCCCAAGTAGAAAGTACTGGAATAAGCTAGAACCCCTGATAGCTTCTATAGGACATTTATTTCACATTCCTCTTGCTCAATGGTCTAGACTTTTATTTCCTTTTATGTCCTCTGTCTGGCATGTGGGGGTGTGGAGTAGGCTTGGAAACTTTTGAGTAATGGAACTAAAAAAATTCTCCTTATTTAACTTTTCCTCTTTGACATTATTGTGATGTTGTTGCTGAAATATCAGCAGAAAAATGTTGCAGCAAGTACCACCACCACAGTATAATTAGAGGGGAGGGGAGGGGAATGAGAGAGGACAAAAGGACTGCCCTTTCACCTCCCATCATAGTCTTGTTCGATCAAAGAGTATAGGGCCATTAAAATGATACAGGAGTGCAATGCTTTCATAATTTTTTGAGACTGCTGGCTGCCCTACCCCCACAAGTTAATAAAAAAAAGGGGACAACCTGTGAATGCGATGAGCTTTCTGCTCTTTATTTTAATTTTTCTTTCTGCCTTTCCTTCTTCGATTGATTAAGGTTAAACCAAACATTCTAACAACAAGCCACTTCTTCTAATTTTTTAGGCCTTCGCCACCACCTACTGCCATGGTTTGGCCTGTTAACAACCCCTTTTCTTGAAAATAAAGTCTTCTTTTCTATCCACCCACCTGATATTTAGCTTTGCCCTGGAGTTTTAACTGTTATATGTGTGGTTAGAAATTGGGCTGGCGTTTGCTTTCCAGATGGGATTCGGATCCAAAATTTCCTTCAAAAGACTTTTTAATATCCAGGCCAGCCAACAACAATAATTATCATGATGAAGGATACTTTAACTTTTCCAATATAACATGGGGACTATTTATTCGTTTACTATGTGGATATAATCCTTAAATGTGATAATGGGAATACGCTAAAGTTTACCCTTTCTAAAGTAACTGTTATTATTGGAGCTGCAAGTGGCGGGTTTTATAGCTTTCTGGGCAATAGATATTGAAGAAATTAACGACCCTAGATGGAAAAATTCCACACTTTTTCTGCAGAAGATGATCATGAGAAAAGAAAAATCTTTCATTTGAAAATGGCATGCATTTTTTATCCCTCAGCACCCCATGCGATAATAAAGGGTGCCAAAATTATGTTTGCACTAATAACAGGTGTAATCAAATTTGTGAAGAGGTCCAGTGGTCCACTACTTGGCTATATCTGTGAGGTTCTTTTGATCAAATTTCAATGTATGATTCCATACCATCAAACCAACCGTTTGGAATTCAAAATTTTGAATAAATAGTGATTAAAGAGTAATTATAAAATAATATAATTTTATATTTATAATAATAAAAAACATTAAAAATTAAAAAGTGACAATAATCATCACACATCACTTGTTTGACTTTGCCCCTTCATTAAATTGTCAGCAAATCAAGATAGTAATTTTTACTCCATTTCCATGTTTTGTCTTTGCATTGGAAATTTTGGGATTTCTCTTGCTTTTGGGTCCTAACTCTTGCTCTAAAAAATCCTATTAGTTCATTTTGTACACCACTGATCCTGTATGTAAAACATTGTGTCAAACATCGTCTTCCACCCAATCTGAAAACTTAAAACGACCCAAAAAAAAAAACAATTACAAGGGAAAAAACATTGGGCAGTTTAGGATTTCAGGATAAGGTGACCCATGTGGATGCATTGTATGATGTGGCTTCCCATCTTCGCAGCAGGAACCTGCACATTCCTGCACCAGAAAGTGATGCCCACCCGACATTGTAATCCATGAATATAATCATGGCTTTAGTTGCCAGCGTCAACATAGTTGGGTTCACTTAACATGTGATGTGAAGGTGTTAAAGAGAAAAAGGGCATTCATCCCAAATGATAACTTCAGCCTCTCTAATATTAACTGTAAAGATCACCAGCTTTCTTGCTCTGATTAGTATTGTAATTATAGTTTAACAATTAAGCAACTTTCTTTTCATGTATAATTAGGAATGATTAATCATTTGTTTTTCCATCATTAGAATAAAGCTTGCTTTGGGACTTGCATAATTAATCTCACACTTGTCCAAAAATATGGGCTCTGATTCACTCAGAAATACTATACCATTGCCTTCACTCCATTGATGGATGTTTCCCTTTTCTCTCTCTTCTTTCTTCTCCTTTTCAAGTCCTATTTCGTTGTCTAGAATTAATAATATCAGGTAATTTGAAGGGCACAAATTTCTGTCAATGGCATGATGGACCTTTTCTTTCCTCCTTGGAGTGGATGCACATTAATGGTTCTCTTTTGTAGTGATTAAACGAAACAGTGTCAGAGATTTGGATTATGGAAAATTTGCTACAGTTTTGTGCAATTCCAGCTAGACTATTCCAATTTGGCTGTAATGATAAAAATGGAGTCCCCCTACTGGCATTATTCCTCGACTGTAGCTTGTTTCTGTCTGTCAATTTTGGGATAAGCTTTTCCCTTCTTTTTTGATTTTGCCATTTTCTAAATAGTAATTGCTATGCCTTGATTGCTAAGCTATAAGCTAATCGGTCAATTCTCTGCTTGGCTACTACTTGAGAGGCTTATGCCAACCGACAAGTAACTCTATAAAAAAAGTCAAACAAAGACATATGCCCACATTTTCCTATTTTTACATTATATATTTATTTAAGTGCATTACTTACTTCTATTGTATAAGTAAAATGAAATTGGCATTTAAGCCGTCCTTGGGAGATACTTTAAATCTTTAATAGCTTTGGGTATTCTCAATGAACGAGCCGTCGCCCCGTCCGAGTCAAGAACAAATGATGCATCGCACGCGCTCAAAGCTGCGGGTGGGTCTGTGAATGACTCCATTTGGCTAGAAAGCCAAAGAGTGAAGCTTTAACACGTGGCAAGAGAATAAAGTAACTCTTTAAGTCTGTAAATCTGTCACCAGGAGCATGACACGTAGCTACTACGACGTTTGCTTATGCTAGACGGCGACGTCTGATTTGCCTGTCTTAAGACAATGCTCATGTACTGGGCATTGAAACAGGGGCCCCATGCCCCCTCCTTTAAAAACAAATATATATGAAGGCCTGCCGATGTCCCGTGAAGTGGGACCCGACATGGCCGCTCTAGGTGGGCCTCGCTCTTATCCGGACCTGTTCGGTTTGGTACCGAACCAGGGATTTGAAATTTTTGAACGTTGAAGCCAACGTCTGCTTTTCTGCGACTATTATATTTTATCGTATTTTTATGGGCCATTTTCTTTTTTTTTTCTTCCCTGTCTGTCTCTTTATATATATATATATAAGCCGTTCAATTCAATGGGTATTTGAAATAGTTTCGATTTTCAAATATTGTGGCTGTTATTATCTACCTAAAAATATTGACATGGCCCAAGTTTTTCCTTTTATATTTGTTTGGATTGCCTTTTTTGTTTCCCTAAAATAAGTATTTGTTTTTTTATGTAAATTTTTCTAATGGATTTCCCTAAATAATGTCAATGCTTTTGCCAACATTTTATAGACAACGTATTTTTCATATTATCCACGTTATTAAGGGAGTTTAGATTCTAGATAGGGTTCT